CGACAATCTTACGAGCTAACTTTTGAGGTTGAAGTTAGGCGGATCGGTGACAGAGTGGTATCAGACCCACCCTCGCCTTGTTCCAAGCTTGTGACCTAGTTGAGTCTGGCAGTCGGTCAGTAGTGAGGGAACTAGGATCCGGGTGGGTGAGAGTCTGACACCCTCTCTCATTGGATAGGAGAGGGAGGCCTGGACAGTTTATAAATGGTCCTCAACCCTTCACCTCATGAGTTGGCTGTTGGGTTGGAAGTTAGGCAGATCAGTGACAATAGTCTTTGTTGGAACCAGTCAGCTACATGTATTCAAGGGGTGTCAACCGACCCTTTCGTCAGAAAATTACACTGTGTACCTAGGTAAATTAATTTATTTGTATACACTACATATTGACACCCATTGGCTTCTTCAGTTGATCCCTTAGTGAAAATCCTAGCTCCGCCACTGGCTGGAACTGGTGTATAACAACCTATTTATCCGAGGTGTCATTTTGAATTAGAGGGTATTAAGATGTCACCTTTTCCTTCTTTAATTTTGGATTAACTATCTTGCTGCTAACCAGATTATACATCTTAATTTTGTTTTATTTCACTTACCACTCTGCACAGAATACATGAACTAAGATTTTTTAATATGATCTGTAGAGTAATCACTAATGGAAATTTTATCATGTTGCAACCAGCATGCTCAGCCATCAACTTCAAATAGGAGTCTCACGGAGTATATTGTTACAAGTTGTTCTAATCATTATCATAAATCGCCAAGCCAGTTATCTGAAGAAATGATCAAGTGCATTTCAGCCATATATTGTCAGCTTGCTGATCCGCCTTTCTTTGGCCATGATTTAAGCTCATCTCCCATATCAGTCTCATCATCAACGCTGGAATCATTTCCTCAAGCTCAGGCCGATGTGCAGGGTCAGCAATGCAGAGAAAATTCGTCTTCTGATTCATCGTCAAACTATCCGTTCCACATTGAAGAGTCGAAGAGATTTAGCGGATGTTTTGCTAGAATGGTTGAGGTGCAAGGGCTGTGTCGAGATAGTCAGAGCTTAAATGCTGCAGAACACGCACTAAAACAATTTAGGTAAGCCTAATATTTCCATTTGTAGATTCAGTTTACAGTTACAAGGGCTGTGTCGAGATAGTCACAACACTATCTCTCTGTGTTGTGAGCCTATGGATCAATCTAAGCAGTTTATGATTATGTCGTATAGAGCTTTCTTAAATTACATTCGGATTAGATACTCTAAGTTATCCATTACACAAATCTTTACAAATTGTCTATTTAAAATGAGTTGGAAAGCATGCACCTGTGAACCAAAGCCTAAGTGCATCGGCATGACTACTGCTGGTCTTTTGGTGTTGATACGACAATAACAACAACTACGCCTGAGACATGACGAGTCTTAAACTTTCCAATGCAGGTATCTCGTCTCAAAGTTGGAAGAAGTTGACCCTAGGGAAATGAGACATGAAGAGAAACTAGCCTTTTGGATTAATGTCCACAATGCACTAGTAATGCATGTAAGCTTTACTGTGTATTCCTGCTTTACATTAATATGTGAAAAATTATGAACCAGCCAGCATTATATATGTTTTTACAGGCATTTTTGGTTCATGGGATTCCAAGAAGTAATCTCAAGAGAGCATCTCTACTTCTTAAGGTAAGAAGATTCTATTGTTATTGTGATAGTTTGCTGTGTAATCGGTTCTTTATAACTCGGTGAACTTTCCAATTTTCAGGCAGCTTACAATATTGGAGGGAATACAGTAAGTGTAGACATGATTCAGAATTCTATACTACGATGCCAATTGCCTCGTCCTGGTCAGGTAATTAAATTCAATTCCTGTGTTTCATTACTTGAGAACTGTCACACATTTCCTCTTTGGTTTCATATGTATTATTTAAATGATTAATTTGTTAGACTTGTGTCTGGTTTCATTGGGCTTATTGAAGTTAATTTTGCCTGTAGTGGCTTCAATCATTGTTCTTTACGAAACAAAGATTTAAAGCTGGAGATGCACGAAAGGGATATGCATTAGAGCATCCAGATCCTCGCCTACGCTTTGCTCTCTGCTCAGGAAACCATTCTGATCCTGTGGTATGCACTGACAAAAACATAAGAATAACTGTCTTTTTTCCGCTCTTGCCTAAAACTAATGATGTCTTGATCGATAAGAATAACTGTTGAAGTTTGGCAAAATGCCAAAGTCCCACATTGGTTGGGAGTTAAGTTTGGAGGGGATTTTTCCCCTATAAAAGAAGGCCTAATGTTTAGGATTGAGACACACCTCTCATTTGCCTTCTCATCTGTTTAAGGCATTTGTATCTTCTCTCTTTAGTATTATTTCACTTGTATTTTTGGAGTGGAATAAAATATTGGTTGTGTCCGAGGAGTAGGCAAAATTAGCCGAACCTCGTAAATTCTGGTGTTTCCTTTATTGTTGTTTTATTGTCTTATTTATTATTTGGTGGCTGTCATAATTTTTGGTATAGTAGTTGTGACTTATTCACACTATATACATTTGGCTTCCGCAACAATAACTATATGTTTTGACTTGTTTTTCCATTGTATGTGTGTAGCTTCGATTGTACACATCAAAGAGAGTGTTCGAAGAACTAGAAGTGGCTAAAGACGAGTACATTCAGGGGAACATAAGGGTACACAAAGAACAGAAACTAGTCCTTCCAAAGAATGTGGAATCTTATATTAAAGAGGTGAATTTGTGTCCATCTGGTTTATTCGAAACGATAGAGCAAGCATTACCTTCTTATTTGAGGAAGAAAATTCAGCAGCCCGAGCAACGAAAGTTGTGGAAGAAAATTGATTGGATTCCTCAAAACTTCACTTTTCGCTACCTTATTTCAAGTGAATTGGTTGAGTGAGTTTCACAGTCTCGCGCCTTTCTGATTGTCGTCACTGTCAATGGTTATGAATGTCAGATGAATCACAATCAAAACCTGTTGAATAGCAGCTTTGAGAAAAAGTAACTTAAGATCTGGAATATATTAAAGGGGGTTATTCAGATTGAAAAGTGGTTCAATTTTTCAGCTGATAGTCTAACAAAGTGCTATAGTTGTGATTCAACTGTCATTCCTAAGTGAGTTTGTAACAATATGGATGGTCAAAAAACACATTTATTCTCTTATTTTTTTCCCTTTTACCTTTTTGTGAGAGTTATTTTGGTTATTGTAGTAGCTCTAAATAGATCAATGGTATGCAAAAGCCAATAGGGATTATTAAGCAAGTATTCTCTAGTCTTGTAAATTATGAAGAACATTTTCTGGTTACATTTGTTTGCTAGCTTGGACCTGAGACTTAGGTTGAATGACATTTTGAACTGCATAAAAAGCATGAGATTGACTAAATTTTAGCACTATAAGCTCATCAACTACACCTAAAGGTTGCCAATTTGTGGACAGAGTCTCTTGGAATTGACATAATTCAACAAAGATTATAGTGAGGTTCATTACAAATTTGGAAACTTTCTAAATCTGGATTTAGTGGAAGGAGACTTCATTCATTTTAGTCATCATACTTTGGAAAAAGCTTGAAATCTGTTCTCACACTAATCAAAATAAGTACTCCATTTATATTGATACAGAATATAATTTGATAATTTCGTGTCTAGATTAAGGTGCTAATAGGATTTGAATGAAATGATTTAAAGGGTCACAGAAGGATAAAATTAGAGCTGTCAATACGGGCTGGCCAGCCCGGCCTAGCCTAGCCCACGCTGGCTTTGGCATTTGACGGGCTGGGCTGGCCTGATTCACTGTTTCGATGGGCCTTAAAATGGTCAGTCCAACTCAGCCTGCGAGGGTCACGGGCCGACCTACCATTTTTAAAAATTATTTTTCATATTTTTTAAAATTAAAGTTTTAAAAAAGAGGATAATATTCCATTCATTAAAAATCAATACTCAAAACAAAATACTCAAAAATATTTTCAAGGTACTCATGGCATATCCAACACCAACAAATCATCTTTATCAAGTACATTTGAATCCTCTTATGAAACAAAGATGTCTTAACATCTTTATTTTTATCTAAATATATAATTATATGCAATGTTAATTAGTTAACCATTAAGAACTAACTAAAAGTTTAAGAACAAAAAATATTTATATTTGCATAAAAAATATTACCAGTTTGAGATTACACTACTCTTATTGTTGTTTATAGTTCCCTATACTTTTTTTATAGTTTTAATTAAATACATTATTAAGCCTACGGGCCGGGCCATCCCAGCTTCGGTCAAGCCTCATGGATCACAGGCTTACTTGGACCGAGTTTAAAAGCTTCGTTTTTAAAGGGAAATTTTCATAAAATACTATCTTTTAGTAGTAATTAGTCATCTATAGATACCATTTGCTATATTACGGATTATAAATACCTTTTATGTGGTTATAAGATGTATTTGATGTATTTAAGCTATTGTATTCATGAATACAGTAGCAAAAATAGGCGTGAATCAGGAAAGTCCAGCTAATCAGTTGTTGTATTCGATTGTATTCGTCTTNCTATATTACGGATTATAGATACCTTTTGTGTGGTTATAAGATGTATTTTATGTATTTAAGCTATTGTATTCATGAATACAATAGCAAAAATAGGCGTGAATCAGGGAAGTCCAGCTAAATTCATGGAGTAAAACATGGGATTACAGCTGGACAGATTATTGCATTCAACTATATTCGACTGTATGCACGGCATGAAATAGGAGATTACACTGTTTTTAAAACGGAAAGTGAATCAATTAACATAATAGACTCCTAATATAACTCAACAAACTCAATTATAACACACAAATTTTGTATTTTCAGTTATAAAAAAGATTCTCAACCAAAAAATACCCCAAAAGCATAGCAATCTTCAGAGAAATTATATAATACATCTGAATACATAAATTATATTAATTAAAAAAATATTTATGAATACATTCATGGCATATAGCGAGACAGTAAATACAATGAAATACATCGGGATACATTGAAATACAATGAAAAAAAGACAGTAAATACAATGAAATACATGAAATACGACGAGATACAATGAATTACAATGAAAAAAAAGACAATGAATACAATGAAATACATGAAAATACATTGAAATATATTAACAGAAAATCAAGTTGCTCAGCCCCAAACTCCATTGTCTTTGTTCAAGAACAGACCCTAATTTCCGGTGAATATGCCGTTCACCGGAAGCCAGTAGTGAAAAGGGTTCTCAAATAGGTCGTTGGCTCAGACAGTGTTGAAGAGGAAGATCAGGGTTCCCAAATTACGTTGTTTCTTCAAGGATACAAGGAAGGAAGTATTATACAGAAACATATCACTTCAGATTCTTATAAGGCTTTCATAGACTAATAGGTCCACTTTGGTAAACATCAATCCCAATTTGATCAAGATAAGTTGCTTGAGAAATCTTTACGCGCCGCCTTGGTCCGGCGATGGTGCCGGAGCCGTTCAAAATGATCCACAAAAATACTACTGTATAATTTTGTTGAAAATCTGAAGACATTACTAGTGAATTTGACGGCAACTTGGCAAGGTGGATCTGCGACTGCCTATAATATATAAGAAATTAGACAATTAGATCTGAACGACGGCAGAATAATAATTCAATCAAACCAAAAAAAAAATGAGAAAAGAATTACAGGAACAGATCCGGAAACATTCTGATTATCAATTGCGGTGTAATTGCTGGACATTCGGATTGGAGCAGTTGAAGATGGCAAATTGATAAAGAGGAAACTTACTGCTTTCATTATTGAATGGCGTATCAAACTAGAGAGAGAAAAAGAAAATAGTGTAATTGAATAGCGTATTTAGTGGCTTAGGGATATGAAGTAACCAAAATTAAATATTTTGCAATAAATATTAAAAAGTATCTATAGAATATATATTTTTAAATGATATTTATTTAAAATAAATAAGGTGTTAACCTTTGCTATAGGGGGTAAAAATTTCGTTTTAAATGAGGTCCAAAAATCTTAGCCCAACCTATTAAATCGTGGGTTGGGTTGGGCCGACCCAGTGGTCCAAGGGCATATTTATGGGTAAAAATAGCACGATCTATCCAGTTTTCGGATTGGTTATTCAAAAATAGTCAGCGTTTACCAAGTCAATGAAAAATAGCCACTATTTTGTTGCAACAAAGACCGGTCCAACATAATATGCTGGAATTCTGGACCGGTATACTTTGCTGGCTCCAGTATAATATACTGGAAACTGGAGCACCGGTGCTCCAAACTCCAGTATATTATGTTGGACCGGTATATTATACTGGAACTCCAGTATATTATGCTGGAGTATTTTTCCGAATTTTGAACAGTGTTTTCGTTCAGATTTATCTTTACATGAAAAATGGTTAAATTTCGATTACTTTTGAAACTAGACTATTTTTGAACGACCACTTGTAAATCTGACTATTTTTGAATTTCTCCCTATTTACGGCTCTAGATAAAATATTCTAAAAATGAGAGAACGATCCAACATTTTAACACATTGCAGTGGCCATGCTATTTGAGTAGATACCACCTGATCGCAAGTTTAAAACAAACTTGGTGCTTGAATTTCTGACTCACTAACCTTTCCTTTTTATCCGAAACAAAACGTTAGTGTTAGCTCTTTAATGTAGCAATTTTGCAGTTGTGAGTTTGAATGTAGGAAGTGGTATTAAATTTTTATAATACTCCTATACCTTCTTATATTTTATACCAAACGATCCCTAAAGAGAACAACATGGACAAGCCCCTTGGAAGACCTCGCTTTCACATTATTGAGGCCTACATGGGTTAAAAATTTATCCGCATCGAATGTTTAGACTAAAATCGCCTTCACCATCAACTGATATTTTAGAGATTCCAGTCACGGTAAGTGAGGGCATTCTTGACTCTCCGGGTGGGTGGGGTTTAAAAAAAAGGTAACTTGAGTTTGTTTGTGAAACAAAATTGCCAAAATATCCATGTACCATATACAATCTAGCAGAAACCTTGGGAAAAGTCAATTTATAAAGTCAGTCCTACTGTCGGATGTAGTTTTATTTGGGTTTGCGATCTGGTGTCCAATACCCGCATAAGGACAACTACTAATCTGAATTTACGCCACGTAATAGCTATTAAAGGGAGAAGCCGAGAAGCAATCCTTACAAGAATTTACGTTATTCTCATGACTGAAATCCGAGACCTCTGGTTAAAAATGGAGATATCTTATCCATACCACCGCAACAATACTTGATGGTGGCCATATAGTGATATACTGCTAAACTTGTCTCGTAGGTCAATTTTTAAAGTCAGTTCTTTCCGGTGCATATAATATGTATTACAATTTGTCCTCTTTCTTCTTTTGTCATTCGGTAATTGGACAAATGCATTAAAAAATCTTGGTGTATCCCGAGGGTATAAAATGTGACTTTCCTGAAATAAAAAGGTTACCAGCAAATTTACTTCTTTTAGTGCAACAAAAAGCTCTCACAAAAGAAAAATTAGCCCACTATAAATGCAGTATTGCTTTCTAAGTGACAAGTCAAAGACTATGATCCTTTTATCCCTAGTCGGAGATCTCGAGTTTGAGCCATGAAAATTAAAAAATTACTGATGGGGATTAGGGAGCGTTTTCCTCTTTGATAGGTCCTATACGATGGGATTAGGGAGCGCTTCCCTCTTCGATTTGTCCTATATGGTGCGAAGCTTGATTGATCGAATCAGTATATACATGATGGTAAAGTTGTTGCCATGTGACCAGGAGGTCACAGGTTCGAGCCGTGGAAATAACCTCTTGCAAAAGTACAGGGTAAGGCTGCGTACAATACACCATTGTGGTCCGGCCCTTCCCATGGACCTCGCCCAGTAGGCGAAGCCACATGGTCATAAGGGTGGTCAACTGACTATCCTTTGTCAAAAAATTACACTGTGTATATAGGTAAAATATTATGTTTTAGAGGTATATAACACATACTGAACATCCTTTATCGGGAATTCACTGCTTTTAAATTTGAACACCCTTGAAAAAATTCCTAGCTTCACCATTCACCTCGCGCATAGCAGACGCTTAGTGCACCACGTTGCCCTTAGTATACACGAGATGGTTAAAATAAATACTGGTCAAATGCTCAAAATAAGCCACACCTTCAAAAACCTACAAGTGAATGAGTGCATCATAGTTTGGAGTGAAAAATGTTATAGCCACAACACAATGTTGATTAGGAAAATATCAGATTGAACCAATTATTTTCTAGATATTTGATTCATTATTTTAGAAAACTTGCAATTTGGGGTGACTAGGGGTGAGCAGTCTCAATCATTTAGGCATTCTTGTTGTTACTGCTCCACTAATTAATGTTTCTTGGATTTGTCATAACACGGTCTTCTTTTGCTTCTGTTTGGGCAGTTGTCAACTTTTGTTGGACTTGGATCTAACGTAGCTGCAATTAATGCTATTTCAGTAAAATTTGCAAATGTGGGGTCATTTTTGCAATTTTCACTTTTAAAGTAAATTTGCATGGCTCTTCTTCAAAACCTGTTGTTGTCTTGAGTTATATCAACTAAAAGTAAAGCCATCACTTTTGACAGCTACTCTTATTCTGCTTCCTTTTAATAGCATAAGTGCTTAGTTGCTATTTTCAGTAAAGATCCTCTGCTATCCTCGTGTCATATTAAAATTTGGAGCAATAAATAATCCAATCCAAATTAGCATTAAACGACTAAAACATTCTATTTTTCACATCGACAAAAGCAGCAGTTAGACAATGGAGGAAGAAAAGCTTAGTGAATTCTGCAAATCTTCATACCATCTTGACTTGGTGAGTTTTTTTTCTAAGCAGAGTCTTGATTTTGTTCCTTCCCTTGCTCTAATATTTTCATTATGTAATAGGACACTATGTTACAGAACTATACAGAGGAGAAGAAAAGACAATTACCTGGCGGCAGACAACATGATTCTTCTAAGGAAGAAGTTAATGTAAGAAACTTGTTTATGGATTTTCTTTTCTTCTTTTTATACTTGTAGCAGTTTACCTGATTGTTTTTAAGGTGATGATTAAGGAAGAAAATACATACTATGAAAATTTGAGTATCAATGATTGATAATAATGTCTAAGTATTAGTTAAAGCAGTATATATGATGTTAAGAGGGCAGCCTAGTGTACAACGCATCCTGCGTTCACGTACAATCCGGGGAAGGGATGCACCCCAAGGTGTGTGATGTAGGCAGTCTACCCTGATGCAAGCATCAGTAAATGTTAAGAGTTAAACAATTATGCAGTAAAACGACTTTCGCCCAAAAGAGAAGGAAGTTATTTTCCCTCTTTTTGGTGAAAAATATTTTCACTGGAAAATAAAAATATTTCTGACAAATGACTTCCTGGATAACCTTTTTTCAAAATAATTGTTAGTCGTACCAAACATGCACTTGATTAATGACTTTCTTGTTTAAGGAAAATAAAATATTTGTAAGCCTGAGAACTGAACTAGACTGTTAAAGGGAATTGAAATGCTATCTGACTTGTTCTGTCTTTAGTTAATCCAGCTTTTGTTTAGTAACTTTTCTTATTTCTTCCTATTTTCAGCGTGCTCATGAAGATCTGATTAGAGAAATTTCTCTTCTGGAGCTGGATATTTTGTGTTTGGAGAAGCATCTCCTTTCAATGTATCGAAAAACATTTGCTAAATGCTTAAAATCACTGTCAAAAACTAATTCAACTCCCAACGAAAGGAGACTTTCAGAAATCAAAGAGCAAAATGGCAAGCCAAAGGAAAATCAAATGACTAATACTAGTCCTATTTTACCACCTTTGGATAATCCAATCAAAGAATGTGATGACACACAAAAACTAGTTGATTCTACCATTTTGAGATGCCATTCTTCCCTATCACATGCTGCTTTTTCCTTCAGAGCTTCACCTTCAGTTGCAGCTCTTGTTGAGGCTGTAGACTCATACCATTCTTTGCCTTTATCAATGCTCGAGGTAAGTAGTGATATCGAAAAAGAACCATGTCATAAATTTTTGCAACAATCTCTTGTAGCTACTGCGCAGAATACATGAACTAAGTTTTGTTAATATGCATTGTAGAGTAACTAACAATTGAAAATCTTATCATATTGCAACCAGCACGCTCAGCTGTCAACTTCTAATAGGAGTCTCGCGGAGCATTTTGTTCCCAATTGTTTTAATAATTATCATGGCTCGCCAAGCCAGCTGTCAGAAGAAATGATCAAGTGCATTTCAGCCATATATTGTCAGCTTGCTGATCCGCCTTTCTTTGGCCATGATTTAAGTTTGTCTCCCATCTCAGTCTCATCATCAAAACTGGAATGTTTTCCTCAAGCTCAGGGTGATATCCAGGGACAGCAATGCAGAGAAAATTCATTTTCTGGTTCGTCGTTGAACAATCTGTTCCACATTGAAGATTCAAAGGGATTTAGCAGATGTTTTGTCAGAATGGTTGAGGTGCAAGGGCTGCGTCGAGATAGCCAGAGCTTAAATGGTGCAGAGCACATGCTAAAGCAATTTAGGTAAGCCTAATAACTCAAGCTGTAGTTTGTATAATACCTCCACATATAAGCCATCAAAATTTAAAGGCTGAATACATGCGAAGATACCTAAAGCTGCCACGATTTTTCATTTGGACACTTTAACTAGGCTTTTTTCTGATTGAACACCTGTAGTAGGCCCAAAGTCTACCAATCAGACACATTTCACACTGGTTTGGAAATACCTCAAGCTCGTGTTTGCTTGTAAATTTTCATAAGTGGAGCATTGACTTTGATACCATGTGTAGGTTTGTGGATGGTAGCTCTTGATACCACTTGCTAAACTCTTCATATGTACACTTAGATTAACATTATGTTGGAACACACCCTAGCAGAACAATAGACGAGTTGACATTTTGTTGGACGGAAGCATTTGGAAGGAAGGGTAGCAGAGGCGAAATCATTGTACTGATTTTGAGTTTCCCTTTCCTTTTGCTTTTCGTTCTAAAGAAACAAAGCCTAAGTGCATCTACATGACTAAAAATGGTATTTTAGTGTTGACAGCTTTTATAAAATATAGTCGACTTCAAGTACAAAATAAATTTCTGTTTGGTGTAACTTTGATCTTTCAATAAGCTTGCGGAGTTGTGCAACTTTTGCAATTCTGAATAGTCTTAAACTTTCCAATGCAGGTATCTGGTCTCAAAGTTGGAAGAAGTTGACCCTAGGAAAATGAGACATGGAGAGAAACTAGCTTTTTGGATTAATGTCCACAATGCACTAGTGATGCATGTAAGATTTCTGTTGCTAGGAGTTAGAGTTTTTTACTGTGTATTCCTGCTTTATATTAAAATGTGAAAGATTATGAACCGGCATTGTATATGTTGCAGGCATTTTTGGTTCATGGGATTCCAAGAAGTAATCTAAAGAGAGCATCTCTACTTCTTAAGGTAACAAAATTGTGTCTGATTTACATGGAAATTAGTTGCACTGTAATTGGTACTGCGAATGACCTTTTCATGTTTCAGGCAGCTTACAACATTGGAGGGAATACAGTAAGCGCAGACAGGATTCAAAATTCTATACTACGATGCCAGTTGCCTCGTCCTGGTCAGGTAAATTCAGTTCCTATTTCTGGAATAGTAAGTTAAAGTCAAAACTATTTTCTGTAACAGTCAAGTCATCTGTATTCCCTCTTTGGTTCCATATGTATTATTTAGATAATTAATTTGTTAGACGTGTGTATGTTTAGTGGGGCTTATTGGAGTTAATTTTGCCTATAGTGGCTTCAATCATTGTTCTTTACTAAACAAAGATTTAAGGCTGGAGATGCACGAAAGGGATATGCATTAGAGCATCCAGATCCTCGCCTACGCTTTACTCTCTGCTCAGGAAACCATTCTGATAATGTGGTATGCACTGACAAAAACATTACTTAGTATCTTATTACATTTTTGTCCAGTCAAACTGTATTTTTCCTTTTTTGCCTAAAACTAATGGTATCTTGATCGATAAGAATGATAGTTTTCTTGATTTATAACCTATATGTTTTGACTTGTTATTCCATTATATGTTTGTAGCTTCGTCTGTACACATCGAAGAGAGTGTTCGAAGAACTAGAAGTGGCTAAAGACGAGTACATTCAGGCAAACATAAGGGTAAACAAAGAACAAAAACTAGTCCTTCCAAAGAATGTGGAATCTTATATTAAAGAGATAAATTTGGGCACATCTGGTTTTTTCGAAATGATGGAGCAAGCATTACCTTCTTATTTGAGGAAGAAAATTCAGCAGCCCGAGCAACGTAAGTTGTGGAAGAAAATTGATTGGATTCCTCACAACTTCACTTTCCGCTACCTTATTTCAAGTGAATTGGTTGAGTGAGTCTCAGTCTTATTCCTCTCTTCAGGCTCTTCACTATCAATGGTTTTGAATGTCAGATGAATCACAATAAAACATGTTGAAGAGCAGCTTTGAGAATAAAGTAGCTTAAAAACATGAATATATTAGAAGGTTTTTTCAGATTGAGAGGTGGTTCAATTTAGTGAACTTTCTTGAGCTGCTTCTTGCCATAATTGTGATTCAACTGTCATTCCTAATGATTGTATCCTCATTTTCCCAAGTGAGTTTGTAATAATTTGGATGGTCTAAACTTCATCTATTCTCTTCTTTTTTCTTCCCCTTTTTGTTAGAGTTTCTTTGGTTATAGTAGCTCTAAATAGATCAATGATATGCAAAAAGCCAAAAGGTATAAAGCAAGTGGTATTATAAATTATGAAGACCATTTGTGATTACTTTTTTTGCTTGTTTGGACCAAGGACGTAAGCTTTATTTCAGAGTTACATGAATGAGGCCCAAGCAGTGAACATAAGATGTGGAAATCACAACCCCACAAGTCACTTAGTTGAATGGTATTCAGTTAAAAAGGTAGCCCGATGCACTAAGCTCCCGCTATGCGCGAGATCCGAGGAACGGCCTGACCACAAGGGTTTATTGTATGCAGCCTTACCCTGCATTTCTGCAGGAGGCTGTTTCCATGGCTCGAACCCGTGGAAGGGCCGGACCACAAGGGTCTTGAATGGTATTCAGTTACAAGACTAAGAAATGTGCAATCTGAAAACAAGTACTAACAAGTTTGTACAAACTAAGCAAAATTTGGACACCTCTCTCAGCTAGAAAAATCTAACAAGCATCACCAGTGTATAGTAGAGATGAATCTAGAAAGCTAGCTTCTCTTCATGTCTCATGATTTCTCTTGGACCAACTTGTTCAACTTTGAGACGAGATGCCTGCATTGGCAAGCTGAAGGCTGCTCAACGGTTAACACAAAAGGTTATACTAAAACCCAAATTTTGGTTTTGTACTTGAGAGTATTTAACTTTAACGTTCCCTAGTCTTAAATAGACAATTTGTCAAGATTCGTGCAATGGAGTCTTAAATTCCATTTTTAGTTCAAAACCATATCAGTAAGCTACAAGTCACAGTAGTACTTCAATGAAGTAATTACGAAGAGTACTTGCACTTCAACTATTATAATGAACCATTTTTAAACTATTAATTCAATGTGGAAAGGTTGAAAAATTAATTATTTATGCTACTTACAACCTACACTATGGCTCGATACATCCCAATATGCTACTATTATTATGGTGAGAAATCATATGTAAAATTGATAGCAATGTATCCCTTGCAGTGGTGGCAACAACCTTTCTTGACTAGGATAATGATATGAATTGCATGGCGAAGGGATTCTAGAAAATTAAAGAGACATGAGACGCGATGCATAACATCTCTAATTTATGAAGATATAATAGATAGATTGTTTTTTTTTTTGTATTATTAATCTAAATGCCCTCCCTTGGCAGCATGCGATGGTAACATTAAGCTTCATCTCGGCTAATGAGTGTGTCGGCAACTCAGTCCTAACCGAAAGTCTCTCCATCCCCACTGGCAAAATCCCCACCCAAAAGTATGAAAAGTGTCATAAGGAAAGTATGCACCCCTGATGGAGGTGTGTTTTGTAATGTAGAGCGAAGATTGTCATATATATAAATTTGAGCTATGCTGCAACGACAACTGGTATATCCCGTATTTTAGGCAATGCTGACAACGTCTCATACGTAGAATATGCATAATAGGCATAGATGAGCCATGCAAGTATGGAGAATAATAACTTGCCCTATCAAAATCACTATAAGAAAGTCGAAAAGAGGGGAGACATAAAGTCGTCGAAAAGAGGGGATATATAGAGCCTCCCACACAAAGAGAAATACAGTTAGTGGTTATCAAAGTCAATTTTAATAAAAGACCTTAAACTTTTTTTAAATAATTACTTATATTATATATGTATGACACGTAAGCAAAATGTTAGTATCACTTTTCGGTTTTTTCCTACTTGTTGTTAATAATATTGTATTCTTATCAGACATGTTTTTAACTTCACATGAACTGTTACTAATGTTTATCTATATTGATAAGAGTTAATTTAAGTCAAGAAGATGGTACCCACGTATTAATAATATATTATTTTGGATCTTATTGTAAAAAATTTATTTATTAATATGAAGAATTGAATAGTTTAATTCAAAGTTCTAAAATATTTATATTAAAATAAATTACTAAATTTGAAGATGAGACCTACTATATTCTTAATGTAACCATACAAGAAAATAATTAAAAAAATTAGATATTGATTGTAATTTTTTGACAGAGCTAGAAGTTTTAAAGAATCAAAGGTTAATTTGAATTTGAAAAATTAATTTTTTTAAAAAATATTGGAAATAAGATTTAATACATTTCTAGTTCTAGAAAATAGTGGATTTTCATATGAACTAAAAAGACTTTAAAAAGACCTGTGAAATGGTATTCAGAATATTCCTAATATGACAATAAAAGGCAAAGATAATTACTTGGAAATAAGATTTAATTATTTTTTAAAATTATTATTACAAATATAAACTCGAAAATAGGAGTATATGTTTTCCTTCATTTAAATTCAAAGGGGCAGCCCGTGCACTAGTGGAGTCCGGGGAATGGCTGGACTATAAGGGTCTATTGTACGTAGCCGTATGTTGAAAATGGTGTTGATCAAGCTTTGTGTCGTCGATACCTAGAATATTTTGGTGGTGATAAGTACGATGAAAGAGGAGATGGTTAGGTTGAATTTATGTTATGTCTGAATGGTTACAAGACATGTTATATTTGTATAAAAGATGGGTAGCCCGGTTTTATAAGGGTTTAGTTTACATTGGGCTTGGATGAAGACATTAGCTTTGGGCCTTGGCTTATTTTGCTGTGACTCAATGTTTTGGGCCTACATGCATTCCAGACCATGGTCAAGAGATTAATTATTGTGGTTATCATTTTATAGATAATTTTATCCTTCATTGTATTTATCTGATAGGTGGTTAGATATTAGGAAATAGGATACTGCCACTTGGCAATAGTTAGTTATAGCTAGATTCCTTTCTTATTATATTTATACGTGCACCCTGTACAATGTATTTTCATTCTCAATACACAAAAGAAAAATTCTCAAAGTGTCTTCTTCTTTATTTGACATGGTATCAGAGCGGGTTTAATTTGCTTTTTACACTTTGAATCAAATTTTCATTCTCCTCTTTTTCTCTATACAATGAGTACTGTTTCCAAACCTACTGATACACTAGCTTCAACTACAGATTCTTCTACTATAGCTGGTACTGGATCTACTGCTTCAGGGATGACTGGTGTAGTGAATTCAGCTCATTCTTACTATCTTCATCCCTCGAATTATCCAGGGATGAATCTTGTCTCTTCAGTGTTCGATGGAAAGAGTTATGAGGGCTGGAGAAGAGCTACGGTAATAGCATTATCTGCTAAGAACAAGCTAGGTTTCATTGATGGATCCCTAGCTGTTCCAGCTGCTGATTCTGGGCTTCAAAAGCACTGGGCTCGTTGTAATGACATGGTACTGTCATGGCTGCTCGACTCTTTGTCAAAGAAAATTGCAGAGAGTGTCTTGTACTCTCAAAGTGCCAAAGATCTTTGGGGAGACCTTAAAGACAGGTTTGGTCAGACAAATGGGGCAAAATTGTTCCAATTGCAGAAAGAGTTAAGTGCAATAATTCAAGGTAATAGTAGTGTATCAAGGTATTTCACTAAAATAAAAAATCTATGGGATGAATTAGATGCTTTAAACACCTTTTCTGCTTGTGTTTGTGAATGTGATTATGGAGCTAAGGCTAAAACCTAAAGGCACGTCAAGATGAGAGGCCAATTTTTGATGGGCCTAAATGAGACTTTTATTGGGGTCAGAAGCAACATATTGTTGTCTTCCCCTTTACCCTCTATTGGTCAGGCTTACTCACTTGTCATGCAGGATGAGAAGCAGAGAGAAAATACATTGTACCAGGTGCACGTATAAATATAACAAGAAAGGAATCTAGCTATAACTAATTATTGCCAAGTGACAGTATCCTATTTCCTAATGTCTAACCACCCATCAGATAAATACAAGGAAGGATAAAAATATCTATAAAATGATAACCACAATAGTTAATCTCTTGACCATGGTCTGGAATGCATGTAGGCCCAAAACATTGAGTCATAGCTAAAATAAGCCAAGACCCAAAGCTAATATCTTCATTCAGACCCAATGCAAACTAAACCCATATGAAACTGGGTCACCCATCTCTTATACAAATATAATATGTCTTGTAACAATTCATACAGAACATAAACTCAACATAACCATTTGCTCTTTCATCGTACTTATCACCGCCGGAATATTCTAGAGATCGACAGCACAAAGCTTGATCAACACCAATTGCAATGGGTTATTTACACAGCTTAAACCTGTGATTTACTGGTCACATAATAACAATTTACCAATTGCGCCAAGGTCTCCCTCCTTTATTTAAATTCAAAGAAAGACAAATGAAAAATAAAAATAACAACGAGGAGTGTGATCCGGACCACAAAAATAATTTCCCAAAATCAAATATTTATTGGAGATTTTTCAATATAAGGTAAAGGACAAAACAGACAAATGCATAATCTGTTTTGTTTTACTTTGTTAGGAGGAGGTTTCGAGGTTTATAGAGTCTAGCAGGAAAAAAGTTCTAATGTCATCTCTTTAGGCTTCAAGAAAGCACCACAATCACTTGTATTTCACATTTTGGCACTTTCTTGGCACTTGTTTGTCCCTATTACAGAAACCCTTTTTTGCAAAAATTCAAGATTTTCATTTTTCAGAAGCCAAAGTCGAAATCTTTAGGTTAATATGGATGAAGACAGAATAGGGTTAGTACTGGCTAGAATCTCTGAGCTGAGAGTGGAGATAACAAACTGCATTCACAAAGCATCAAAGAAATTAGATGATGAAGAAGTGGAATCTGCAAATGGAACGAACCCTGAGGCTGAGGAGGACGATGAGGCAGTGGATTGTTTGTTGAAGATTAAGGATGCTCTTGAATCACTTGAAGCTCAGGTGTCTTCTTTGCAGGTCTCTTCTTCTTCTTCTTCATTTTATTTTTTATTTTTTTATTTTTCAGCTTCTAAATGTGTATATATCATATATTTAGAGGATTCATATAATCAGACTCCAATTAATTTGAGATTGAGACGTAGTAGTTGTTTATGTCTTCATGCTACTCGGAATTTTGCAAAATTGCCCTTTTGTCGAGTTAATAAGCAAAACGGCGCCCAAATTAGGGTTCCACCTTAATAAATAGTTGTTAGAAGTTACATTTGAGTTGTTCTCCATTTTCTAATTACCTTAGGGATTTCTTAGTCTGGTTTGTCTGTAGTGCTATGAGTATGTTTGCTTTAGGAAATTTTCCTCTGTGTGTTTACGTTTTTCTCTTGTTGAGGTCCTTTTTTAATTCTTTTTTTGGTCTTGATATATACTTCATTCGTCCTCTTGATGATGCATGTAATGGTGCATTAGGTAGCAAGATTTTGCATAAAAGTTTTTGGAGCTGAAGTTGGGATGCATATCTGATGGTTAGACTAATGTTGACGTTCGTTAGAATTTTGCGTTTGTGAGAATTAAGTAGGTATATAATGGTGCATTAGATGAATTAAACACAATTTAGATTTGTTCGATCAAGTGGATATGAGGTCTTCTAGACAGAAATGGATAAAAAGTGTTTTATCTGTCTCAGTACTTTAGCATGCATTTTAGTTCTTTTGTTCCAACGAATGGATAGCATTTTAGAGTTGACAAATTTTTTGATAGTTAGGATTGGTATTCCGTTATATATCTGCTCACTAATGCTGTTGCATGTTACTATTATTTGCTTTTGTTAGAGTTTGGAGATTTTGTTGTCTTTGTTCTGTGGAGTGAGGCATAATGGTAGACTTAAATGGAATCAGTAGTACGTGGATTCTTCCGTGATAAGCGGACATATCGGGTTTAAAGTTTAGATGAGGTAACCGAGAGTAAAGTTGTTTGCTTTACTGCCTAACGTTGATATTGATAAAATCTCTTACTCTGTCTATGATGTTGTAAGACGAATCAGAGTTCAAGATCCTGATCAACCATAATACGGATAGGATTCTCAGTTCTCTTGAATGCAACCCTGTTCACATTTGAGTGAGAATTTTTTTAATTTCTGTTACTTTTGTATTCAAGAGACTGACGCACCTATAGAATATAAGGGAATGGGAAGGGGAAGGTAGCTGTTGATGGGATCTGAACCCTTGCCTCCTCAAGCAAAGTGAACGCGGTGAATAGTGAATGGAATGTCAATTGCCTAAACACATGCTTGTTGTAGAAATGCTTTTTGGAAATATGATCTTCATTATAGAGAGAGATTATGATCTTCTCATCTCTATTTGAAACTAAAGATATTGAGATGTAGAAGTACGATATTGAAAAACATATCTTATGGACTCACCAACCCCTTAAAATGTAACTTGATCAACCATTCCATAAAATTATTGACTTTGAAACTGATTCCACAAACATTATGAATGCTGGTTCCTAGCAGTCTCTATTTAGGTGAAGTAGATACCTCATTTCAGGTGACATTTGTGATAAAACAGTCTGGCCACTCTATTCTAACATGAGAAACACAAATCTTAGTTTGCAAAACCCCCCAATCCATCCATTGTTTTGACGTAGAGTTGATTTTTTTTATTTTTTTTGATAAGGTGATTTGGGAAGCTTAAATCCGCAACTGCTTAACAAGGGTTCCGGCTATGATATCTATTAAATAAACTGGGTATTTCTTTCTTTTTAGTCTAACTTCTGATATTTCTTATTACAAATTTGTTCTTTTCACGTTATTTTTAAATTGCTTAAAATTACTATCCAATAATAGTAAAGTAACTTCTGAGTGTAATGTGTCTGCAAAACATTGCTCATTTATACAGGAATTCATAGTCACTCTGTCATGGAGGCAAGTGTGTTTCAAGTGATTGTATGATCCTAAGTCCTAACTAATCTGCAAGCTAGTTGCTATGTATGGTCAACCGAAAAGTGATATCACCATGTTGTTAGGGGAATTACATTTTGCTTCCAGAATAAGAGTGCCGTGGTTTGAGTGTGTCATCACTGGCTTTCATCAAAGAGTTCGAAATCTTCATGTGAATTTCAGATAATTGTTATTCTTAATTATCTCTTGGTTGTGGCATGCTGAGCTTGGGGCTGTAGCATGTGCTTGATTGTATTGTTCTGCAGTGCACCTTGTCCGGTACTGTTTCTAGATGCAGAATTAGTTTTTTGATCTAACCATTACAATGGTCGATCTTGGTCTGATGATTGTAATGCCATTTATAAGCTTTAGAACTACCACTAAATATAATCTTCTGTGAGGAGGCTTGTCCTGTTAATAATATTCATTTGCACTTAGTGAATGTTTAACGTCACTCGCTTAGTGTAAGTAGATTGACTTATTAACAATGTTGGAGGAAGGATTTAATCTTGGGTTAATAGATAGATTAGTTCAGCTTTTGTCCATCGAAATATCCGATGAAAAGACTGGTAACAGTAAAGCCCAAAGGTTGTTCCCGTCCCTGCGGGGTGAGATGCCAAGAATCTCGTCTTTGTAGCACCTGGCTGATTATATTATTATACTTTATTCAAAGTATCTGTTGAAGATGTTTATAATGCCAACCGTGAAATAATGGTTTGGCTGAGGTTGAGAAGTTACATGGGTAAAGATTTTTTTCTTCCTGTTTGTTGTTTCAAACATGAATGTAGTCCAATATCCCAAAGTGGCAGTATTTTCTGATTTCCTTAGGGATTGGATTGCCTGTGCCTCTTCCGACAGTATTTCTGAGTAAATTAGTAGAACTTCCCCTTGTCAAACATGGCGTAGTTAAATATCCCAAAGCTGCAGTATTTTCTGATTCCCTTATGGATTGAATTGCACGTGCCTCTTTCAACAGTATTTCTGAGTACTTTGTGGAACTTCTTGGCCCGATTGCCTGAGATTATTCGCTGCATACTCCAAAGCTGTTATTGCCATTCTATCTGTACAGGCTTGTTTATGCATTAATTATACAACGTGCCTTTTATAACATTCGTCTTGTTTCTATGTTTGTGCATTTGAGTTATGTCCTCCTCCTTATTGCCTTCAAATTAAAATGTTCAGGCACTACAAGAGCAACAATGGTATGAGAAAGAAGCAGCGTTGTCTGAGATAGGCTATAGTCAAGAAAAATTGCTCCAGACACTGAAAGGGTACAAAGGCAAGGAATTCCGAGTCATACATGAGGCAATTGCTTTTGTTTCTGAAACAGTAGAAGACAACAACGATCTTCTACTTCCCCCGTACCCAAGCAGACCTTCTCGTGCAATGGTGTCAGACAAGGGTTATGGTGCGCACTTGCCGTCTGCACGTAAGTTCACTCAAAATGGGGTAACTGGTAGCCACAACCACGACTCCAGGAAAGATCTCGATGAAGCTAACCGCGAAAGATCGGAGCCTAAAAGCCCATTAAAAATGGTTAAGTTCTTCGTTAGTGCTGCAGCCAAAACAGCACTTACAGTTGTTGGCGTAATCTCTGTCTTGACGTTGGCTGGATTCGAGCCTCAGCTAAAGAAACGGGATAATCAGCTCAAGGTCGCTAACTTGTTTCAACAGCTCGCAAACAGGGAGGCGACAATGTTTGTTGAATGCCCTCCAGGAAAAGTCCCAGTGGTTGAAAATGGTGAAACTCGGTGCGTCGTGAAAGAGAGAGTTGAGATCCCATTTGAATCAGTTGTGGCAACTCCAGATGTAAATTACGGTTGTGGATAAAAAT